AAAAAAGCAGACATGCTATGTCATAAAATAACTATTAGCGACTAGTTTGTATCCTATAAATCTAACTCGAGTTGATAATATGGTCCATTACCAGCTAACTGCACAGAGTATTTTTCATTTTACACTCTTCAGTTACTTTTTAGTGAAGTGTTAAAAAATATGAAGCTTTTCTCCTCTTTAAAATTGCACGCTGTCTGTCTGTTATTAGGGAGATAACAGCTCTTATAAATGTTTCAGTAAGCGCTAAGTAGACAGTTATGTGCCCTCTCATTCCACGCTTATTTGCTTACCGTAATAAACTGATAAAATATGTGTGCTTTGCTGCTATGTATCTGCAGGCATCAGGAATCGCATAGATTTCCTTTAGAAATAACGCAGTCTATGCAGAATTGATTGGATATTTTCGTAAACCATCCAGAGGTGTTACTCACCCTTTCTAGATATGTTTCATAAGTTGTGTGCTAGTGTTTCTGATCATTATTGAGTCTCTCGGTTTCTGCTCACTGGTGTTAATATTGTTGTGTGTCCTGTAGTTAATGTTATGGAGTACAATAAAAATAGTACAGCAAAGTGCAGATAACAAGCATTCAGAGCTCTGATGTGACTGATAAAGGGAAATGTGATTGGTTTCTATTGGTTAATGCACCTTTTATTATTACAGCCTTTTCATCGAAATCCTTTGGGGACATTTCTATAACATGCAGGCCAAAAACTAATAAACATGTACAACTGATGACAGCTGTCGGGATAATTAAAACTTTGCATCTGTTTCATATAAAGATGCTTGTTCTATAGGTCATTTATTTATATTTTGTTCTTGAAGCAATTGTATAAGTTACTTGTTGGAATTAAGCGTGCCATACTTGTTGAGATTGAATTGACCAGCTCAGCTTTGGTTGTTTGCTTAAACAGTAGAACAGTAGAAAGGCATCATGGCACACTCACAAACCAGCATGTAAAACAACTTGTCTCACCACTAAGGACAATGACAGAGGTTTGGATACACGTCTTCTGCAAAGGATGTGTAAGCCGCACTGCCGCGCCAAGGCACCTCTTATAGTGCGGTCCTAACTCTAAACTATGAGAGTCTCCATCTTGGAGCACATGGGGGCAGAAGATATCAAATTGGGTGCAGGCCTGTCAGGAGGACGCCCCACCTCCTTAAAGGTACAGAAACACACAAGGGATCCCGCACATCCCATTGGCAGCTGAGAAACCCCATGCGTCGCTGCACCAAATCAGTAAAGCAAAACAAACGACAAACGCACTCAACAATTTGTTACCAGTTATACAGTAAGGTGCACACGAAATGGGCTTTGAACAGTAGAACAGTACAGGTCGCAGACTTTAGGTAGCTGGAGGCAATAGGCAGTTTGCTCTTGGAAATCTGCTAGTGAGGGGAGCATTATTTTTGCAGTGTTAGAGCCCATTCACACCAGGGCGGTTGCGGATACCGCGCTGATCTCGCAAGGGAGGTTTTGGGAGTTTTCATTGTGTTTCAGCGCTGAAACGTAATTGAAAATGGCCAAATCCACGCTGATTTCATGGTTTTAATGAAACCTGTATGGAAACCGCACTGATCAGCGCGGCAAAAATAGTGCAGGGAGCAGATTGGGCAGGGGGTAGTTTGGATCGCGCAGTTGCATGAACGGTCCCCATAGCAATGTATGGTATCGTTCATGTTGGCGGATCCACCCTGAACCGCCCTTGGCCTAACCACCCCAGTGTGAATGGGGCCTTAACCTTAAAGTACTTGTTACGTGTTCATTTTAACATGCTTCCTCTTCTGTATTTTTATTATTGTAGTAAATATAGCCACTGTAATGGACCTTTGATTAACAAGATTGCATAAACAATTCCCAACAAGTCACAATACTCAACAACAGTATGTTTTGGTTGTATTGGGTTTTTTTTTAATTATTTAAAACTGTATCTTTTGTAATAAAAACAAACAGCCCTAGGGCTCCAGGCAGGTGACTGTACCTAAGCTGAGATTATGTCATCAGTTTTCTGCAGGCAGGAGGAAGCATTTTCTCAGTCCCCCAGTGATCAGGCAGCAGCATTGTAACTATGTAGTCCCAAGGCGAGAGGCTGCAGCAGGCTGATCTTTGTCAACTGCCAAACTTTGCAGAGTTACCTGGATTTACATGATTGTGTCATCTCTTAGCTGGTATCTGCTAAATGCTGACCATGGATGAGCCCTAAACAAAGATGGTGCCACCCTTCTGGAAAGGAAAAACAGATGAAAACATTTTCAGAGTATTGTGGTCTCTGAGAATTACTAAATACCCATGCATGTGCTTACTGCTTAAACAGATATTGAAATATAAAATCAGCCAGACAGGAAGTTTGTTTTTACTGAATCAGCTCACATAAAGGCCTATATTGTGAAGAGGATCAGTAAAACACGACCACTGTGCAGCACTGCAAAGTGTGAGACATAACTTTGCATATGTAAAGTTCCGATATGACTGCGCCGATGTACAAATGGAATTACAAACTATATTATATATATATATATATATATATATTGATTTACAGCAAAGCCTATACATTCCTTTTCAAGATTGTCAAGGTAAAACATTTATAGTAGAGAAGGTTGAAAAAAGACACCGGTCCAATCATGGATTGTGACAAATGAACCCTTTCGCTGCCAAGCCCTCGAACGCTTTAAACCTAGCTGGCCACACCATTTTTGCAATTTTTCACGTTTTGTTTTGCTATTGTTGCGTTGCTAGCTGTTGTAAAAGACCCTCCAAACCATATATTTTCTGAAAGCACAGACCCGGTAGAATAAAAAGATGGTGCTACTAATTTTGTAGGCCCTGCGATAATTGTTGCAAATGTTTGTCGAATCAATATTAAACCAATAAAAATACACAAATACATTGATAAAAGCACACTAACATAAGTATCAGTGCACACAAAAAAATTTTTTTCCGACAATCTAAAATATAAAACTGTATTGAGTTAATAAATAACAAATATTTGTAAGTTTTAATTGCTCCTTTTTTCGAAACGGTAAAAAAAAAATGAAGTAACGCAAAACTGTAAATAAGCGACTTATGTTAAAAATTGTTTGTGTGTTGTGATAAAATTATACAGGCTTACATTTAATCGCAACACAGCGTATCTCAATGCTTACCATGCGCGGCCACAGCTAAATTAATTTTATTTTAAAAAGAAAAATCAAGCACTGCAATGCGTTCTAACACATCGCAGAGCATGTGCCTGGCGTACCCCACAATATGGTGCACACTGTTGTATGTGTATGTTATCCATATTTACCATCATCCAGTTATCAATGGGTAGAAGCCTCTGTAGTGAGTGCTTCTCCCCATTAAGAAACTCTTAAATTAACAGGATGTAAAGCACTTCATGTTCATTAATAACTGGGGACACATAGTACTATGTGTCCCCAGTTGTTTACAAACATTGGAGTGGTCAGCTGCATACAGAGGATCGGTAAATATCACAGATATTTACCGATCCTCCGCTTGGTCGTACACAGAACAGTTGTCATCCTAAAACCGACAGGATGACAGCGCTTCTGCTCTCTTCCCCGCTCATGGGATTGTGACAGTTGAGAAATGGGGTTGACGGGAACCTGTTTTAGCCCCCCATCACTCATGGGATTGTGACAGTTGACAGGAGCCTGTTTTAAGGCCCCCCATTTCTCATGGGATTGTGACAGTTGACAGGAACCTGTTTTAAAGCTCCCCACTCCTCATATGATTGTGACACAGAAACCTTTTTTAAGCCCCGCGCCCCCCCCCCCCCCCCCCCCGGCTTCAGCTGTTATCTTCTCCTTGCATCCTCCGCTGCCTCAACCCATACAGGCAGGGGAGAGTAGCGGGGATCCGAGGCGAAGCATGGAGTGGCTCCAGGCAGGGAGGAGAAGCTGTCAGATTTTTTGTTAATAGTTGTCAGCTATTATTTTACAGGGGAACTACCAGGGGGGCTGTTCAGTTATGAGCTCATAGCAGAAGGGAGAAAGCCACCGACATATGGCATACTGACGTGGCCAGCTGCAAGCGGTTGTGTTCCGCCGTATGCAATACGTTGGTGGCAGCGAAAGGGTTAAGTGATAAAGCATTCTTAAAGCCCATCTCAAGCTTCTGAATTAAAATACACTTAAAATTCCCCAAACCTTTTAATAAAACACTTCAGCTTTCACTACAATACTTTCCTTCTACCCTGCAGAAAGCCTGCGGAGACCAGTAGCTGCCACCCTACTTTTGGGTTTTATGATGCCCAACCTCTCAACATGGGAGGCAGCTCACAAGCTGTCGTGGCTCCAAACCTTGTAGTCTGTACTACAGGAGTTGTTTGCCACTGTTTACTCTGCCTACAGGACACCGCTGAATAGGTTGAATGTAATGATGTAATGCAAATGTTACATGAATGGAAGCCTTCAAGTGAGTATGTAGGAGTTTTAAAAACTGTACAAGGAGCAGAAGAGAAAGTAATTAGATGGGGCTTTAAGGAGAAACTGACTCAATGGCAAAGACTGAACTCCTGGGCTTCTCCTTATTTCTCCTGTAGGTCCTCATTAGATTAATTTTCTCTGTCTCTCCCTCTCTGTCCTAGTGACCATTGTATTTTTACCATGACCACTATCTAAGGGGGGCATTTCCCTCAGATTACTTATGTTGCCTTGTTGTGTCTACAGGTCAGGCAGTGAAGGAATTTTCCCCAATGGGAGAATTTATTTTAAAAAAAGTTTTGTGTTAAGACATACTTTAAATTCTTAGTCTAGCCTTTTGACCATGTTCAGGGTGCAACATGAAATAAGGCCACATTCTGCATGGACTATGTCTTTTCATTTTCATTGCCAGTAATTTTACTATTCTGATTTTAGTTTGTTTTATTCTACTTCTTCCTAAATAGAGTTTTACAGTTTAAAAAAAAAAATAGAGGTTGCCAAATGTGATGTTTCAGACGCCTGATCTTAACTTGGTTTTGATTGTGTCATCCATTTTTTTTTCTTTTCTGTATAGGTTTCAATGCCATCTTTTGTCCCTACTAAGACATATGAACTTCTCCATCGGATGAGTGGCAAAGGTCTCTCTGCTAACTACCACTTCCCTCGTCAGCCATGTATATTTGGAGATCAGATGGTTTCAGTACAAGTTACATTTAATAACACCAGCGACAAGACAATAGAAGATATTCACATAGAAGGAAGAAAGACAGATTTGAAGATGCACATATTTAACCCAATAGGTAAGAAAATCTGAGTTCTCTTATTCTGCATCTTTGCAGCCAGCAGTGACTAGTGTATCAATAGTCAGATAAGGGGACACTGTCAGTATAGTATTAACACCGAAGTAAACCTAGCCTGTAAAACCAGATACTGTATACTTGCCTTACCAGCAGGCCATTTCTTAAAATTCCAACACGTTTCTGGATGCTGCAGGAATCCATTAATTCCAGATGAACCCAGTACCTGCTTCCCTGCAGCCCCCCCGTGCTTCCTCCTACACCCTCCTAAATTCTACAGGAGATATGAGCTTCCACGAGGAACTACAGTACGGCAGGGAACAAGGTATTTGACATAGACAAATGTGTGGAATACCAGAAACAGTCAGAGATCAGCATCTTGGTCGACTTTTAAAACATGGGTCATGGGAAAGGCAAGCATACAGTATCTTATTTTGTCTGTTAGGCTTACTTTTTAGTTTGTACCCAAGAGTCACTGTAAAGCTTTAAAGTAGACGTAAACTCTAACTGAATGACATTTACATTGCTAAAACCCACATGCGCTGCAATGCAGCACAGCGAACAGTGTTCTTTGCTGCAAGAAAATACAGCCTGCACCATTTTTTGTATGGGTTGCAGTGACTAGACTTCCTAACTTGCTGTGCCTAAACATGGCTAAACACACAAAAAAGTGTATTGCAGTGCGCTGTTTTGGTGTGAATGTATAAAAATGCATTTAATGATTTTTAAATAAAAACATAGCATAACTAATTAGGGATGCACCACTAGTTATATAACTTCCTGCCTGTGCACCGAGGATTATGGGAGCTGTAGTTTCACTTTTACAGCGCCACCGTGACAGCAATGGGTGAGTGTGTCACGTAGGGGGTATACAAGAGCTAGGATACAAGAACGGACCTTAGTAAAGATGGCTGCCGTCATGCAGCCATCTTTAATATGGGAAGATGCACACCTGTGGGCAGAAGCATAAGAGCAAGGCATCAGGCACTCGGTCCATGACTGAGTGTCTGACTCAATGGCTTAATTTCCACTCGCCCCCTCGCAATTTTCACTCGCAAATTGCGAGGGGGCAAGTGGAAATTTTGAGCCCTGTGTATATGTCTATATATATATATGTGTGTATATATATATATATATATATATATATCACACACACACAGTATCTCACAGAAGTGAGTACACCCCTTACATTTTTGTAAATATTTTATTATATCATTTCATGTGATGACACAGAAGAAATTACACTTTGCTGCAATGTTGATTTTGAAATTAATAGGGTTTCATGAACATAAGCCCCATTCACCTTTAGAAATGGTTTTTTGTTGTAGAATATTCCATCCTGCTCCTTTGATTTTTTTCGTCACCATGGTCAAAATTGATTGGCTATTTAACCCCATTAACTATTAGAAAAACAAATGTTCCCAAAACAATTTTTGTTAATTAAAATTCTACTGGTGTATGTCCAGCTTTGGGGAGTTTTTAGATGTCTGCAAACAGCTGAATGGTTGAAGCTGTTTGCTTTTGTATTTGGGAAACTTTGTCTGAAGGGAGTTTTTTTTCTCATGACAAGTTAAGTGTTCCTCTTCCAACCCCACCCCAGCGGATTGTCAGTTTATCTTGCCCCTCCCTTTTAGATTGTAAGTCCTCAGGGCAGGGCCCTCCTTAATATCTTGACTTGAAATGTATTGTGATTGTAATGTCTTCCTTATATTGTAAAGAGCTGCACAAACTGTTGGTGCTATATAAATCCTGTATAATAATAATGTAAAGTAGTGAGTGTACACTTGTATATCAGTGTACATTTGCTGTCCCCTCAAAATAACAACACACAGCCATTAATGTCTAAACCGCTGGCAACAAAAGTGAATACCAAGATAGACAGACACACACACACACACACACACACACACACACACACGCACGTGTGTGTGTGTGTGCATAGTATCATTTTCTGTTTATGGATAGTCAATGGAACTATATAAATTGTTATTAGTTAATTGTTAGCCAACAGTTCACAAGCCTAAATGCCTAAAATGTACCTTAATATACCTGAAATATGGTTGTTTTAAACTTGTTAGCTTTTGTCACTGCAGGACACTTGCTTGTATAGCATAGGACTTGCTTGGGGAGTAACAAGACAGTACATTTACTAGGGTTTTGAATGGGGCCAAAAGGAATCAAATGCTTCCTCTAAAACAATGCAATTAACAGTGTTGCCACCGTAAAACAAAAGGTGTTCACCTCATCACAAATCTAAAAAACAGTTGTTTTTTTTTCTTTAAGCACGCCTCACCCTAGCCTTTATGATTTTACCTTATGTTAGCATTACCAAGTAATTCTAAACAAACCTTTAATATTTCTACTAATACACTACAATACAAGCTGATTAGTGCTAACAGTGTCTGATTGCTGTTCTTTGATTGGACTGTCATAGCAGTGAAGTGCAGATGACTGTACTGTTCAAAGGGCAGTTTTCTTATAAAGCGTTGTGCCCGTTTTATTAGGGTACCAATTTAGAAAAGAAAATTACCATGCCGGTTATTCATCTTGTGCAATATCCACCAAACACATCACTCTTCCCACAAGAAATATTGCTGTCACGAGTGAAAGATCTCTTGCTGCCTATCAGCAGAGATCTAAAGGATAATATGAAGCCCATTGTTCCATTAACGCCTTATATGTTCATGGCAAATTAGACTTATCACTGTTGTATATTTGAGTGTCCTTTTAATGGCCCATTACTATGTTAAGCAAGTAATTCACAGAGGCAGAGAAAGATTCTCTGATTGGATGAACTGTAGGGGACAGTGAATTGATTTTAACATCCTTTCCCTCTGTGGCTTTTCTATTTTTTTCTTTCCTTTCCTATTTGTAACACTTTTTAATGATATTTCAAACATATGGAATTTATCACTGAGATTTCCAGGCTCCATCGTGAGATTTTTAGCAATTAAGAGCTTTACCATTGCCGCCAGATTGCACTTGACAGTTTTCCAGGCTAAGGCAGAAAAATAAAGTAAGCATCTGATTGGTGGAATTTGATAATCGATTGATTGGCTGACCTGTTTAATTTCAACTAGACATTTTAGTTGGATGGAGCTGCCCACAAAATGTATTTTGGTCTAGCCTAACCAAATGTCAGTTTACATGTTGAAGGCCTTCTAACCAGGTCAGGCACCCCTGACTCCTTGATCTTGGGGAGAAAATTGATATTTCAGGTTTACCTATTACAGCTAGATTCTGCTTGGTGGGTGCCAGTTGTATAAACAAAACACACTTAGCCATGTACCAATGTGTTAATGTACCCGTTCTTCTAAAGAAGCCACTTTGTGCCTATGGGCATCTCTGTGACTCAAGCGACAAAATCCTACCCCTTAAAATCCTGACTGCCATCTCCTGCCACGCAGTCACTCCATTTCCTGTATTCCAACAGGGGAAACAAAATCCCAGAATTTAGATGCCAATATGTTGCTGTTTTGCAGTTAGTGACTTGGGTGTGGTCTGGGGACGAAGCTCAAGTAATGCTTATAAAAGGTCAGTTTTTGAAGTTGACTTTTTATGGTGCCACTGTTAGTCAGCTAAAATACAACTAATACTTCATGATTTTAAAAAAATGCCGTCTGGCGACGGCAACCCGCCAATGCGACAGTGCCGTCCGTCCGTTTTTCTACTACGGGCGGACGGCAACTGGTTAAGATGTTTTCCAGTCTGGCTACTTAAAGTGGACCTATACCCCCTTTCACTAAAAATCACGTCAGCATGCAGGTCTGCATGCTGATTTAAAATATTACATTCATTAGTTAAACTTGTTTTTCATTTACTTACAAATAGAGTTAATTCACTTCCTGGTCCACTTCTGGCACAAATGATGTAATGTGCCAAAGTGTTGCATCCTGGGAAGGTTACATCAGCAGACCATTGCTGGGTAATACATGTAGTCAAGAACCAGCTGCACTCCTTACGGGAATAGTAGTAAACCTGCCAAGCAGGTGGGTGCTTGTAGTGACCACGGACGGCCCCGTGAACAATGCAGATCTAGAAAGGATTGTCACCAGCACACCAAAAGTTTTGAAGCAAAAAGTCCTTTATTGACAAATCGCCATCCAATCCAATCAGGCTCTGAGCCTGATGAAGGGGTACTGCTGAGAACCCAAAAGCGCTTGTACTGGATGTTGATTTGTCAATAAATGACTTTTTGCTTCAAAACTTTTGGTGTGCTGGTGACAATCCTTTCTAGATCTGCATTGCTGGGTAATCTCACGAGATCTCAGGGAAAGGCATTTTCCTCCCCTAAAATTATGTGCATGGTCACATGTCTTAGTCACATGTGCAGAGTTCCATGAAGTAAAGGCAGAGCTAGTAATCTGCCCTTAGTTAACATGGCCACTGTCAGAAGACTGGGAAAGAAAATAGAGGTAAGGTATGCAAAGAATAATAAGCCGCCAATTGTCTAGAAGTGTCTGTTTGTAGATTGCCATTACTAAAAATGTCTAAAGGTGTATTGGTTAAAGCCATGGGTAAAGTTCCTCTTTAATGAATAGTATAGGTGTTTTTAGGGCTGTAGCCACAAATTTCCATTATTTTGTATATTTTATGATTAAACAGGCAAACTGTTTTGTGCATTAGCATATGCCTTAGAAAATCTGATTTAGATCCAAGTGGCCTCAGTATATAAGGATGGGATACTCCAATGATATATAATGTCCCTTGTTCAATTGTTTTTTTCTTTTTTCGAAATGTCCAGTACCCATTTTCTCTCCCTATTGCTTTTCTTCTTTCCCCTACTCATTTATTATTAGAACCTGCTGGCCTGTAAAGTCCAAAGCCTTTGATTACTGTGTTGTGGCTTTATTCTGCTCATCCCCGTTACTCATCTTACACATTTGCAATATGGAGAGGCATGGGTCTGTTATGTGCTGGCTCACAGGGAGAAATGTCCTACAGGTCACAGGTCCCACCTCCCTGTATTTAGAGTGAATGCTAGTTAGCAGCAACTGTAAGGAGAACAAAACCACAGACGTGACTGAGGTTTCTGGGTGTCCCAATTCAGTGTTTCAAAGCTGGTATTTCAGCTGAAACAGACCTTTACCTTTGCTTACACTTAGGTGCTTAACAGTTTGCCTGTTTAACCCCTTCATGACTGAGCTTGTTTTTGGTTTCTGTTCGTAAATCACTGACACACTTTTGACATTTTTGCTGTGTGATTCTTCCACGTCAGTAATATACTTTTTAACAAAGTGCACCCACACATATTATATATTGTTTTTTAGAGGACAGATAGGGCTATATATTTATATCACATATGTGTGTCTAACGCCTCACTTAGGACAAATAAAATATAAAAAAAGAGGAAAAAACGTAAAAAAAACACTTTTTCCCCAGTTTTGATTTGTAGTATTTTTTTAACAAAACCAGCACAGCTAAAAAAAATGCAATACATACATTCATTTATTTGTCCCTTATTTTTAATTTTTTTACACTTTTTTATTTTTTTATTTTTTTTTACACTTTTTTCTTTTTTTTTTACACTTTTCACTTTTTTTTTAAACTTACAAATTTTATTTTATTTATTTAATTATATCAAGCAGTCATTGTGAATTAATCTCACTATTACTGCTTGATAAATTAATAATTTTTTGGTTATTATCAGGCTGCTTCAAACTTCAGAACAGCCGATAATAAGTTAGTGACACTGATCCTGCAGCAGTTCAGGATTCAGCTGTCACTGAATGTTTCAGAAAACTGAAACATTCTACTTTCAAGAATAGATACATTATGTGTCTATTACATTACATAATGTATCTATTCTTGAAAGTCAAAAGATAAAAAAAAAAAAAAGCCAGTATAGCTTGAGAGAGATATCTCTCGATCTATACGAGCTGTCAGAATGCCGCAAAAGTGTGTCTGCTCTGCTGTGACTCTCAGACACCCGATATTAAGGTATCGGGTGTCTGAAAAAGGTTAACCCTTTCAGTAATGGATCTCTAGATAGTTAGACATCCATTACTGAATGGTAACCGCTGATTCTCAGCGGTTAGCAGCCTTCTAGTGCAGCAAATAACTCAGTGTACGTGACGAGTCATTTGGTCCCTTTGTGGCTGGACGTACAGTGTACGTCTCCCGTCACGAAGGGGTTAAACTCAAAAAGTACTTTAGAAGCTCAATAATCCTTTAAATGAATACACCCTCCCTAAAGTTTGTGGTTTTCATTCAGGCTTAGCTGTAGTGCCAGGTCACCCCATTGCTTGCCAATGCATCCCAGTTCAACAATATGGCCTAGTACGCTGTTCTGTGAACACCATTTCAGAGCCTAAAAAACTTGCAAGCCAGGCATTCTGAACTTTGACCATTCTAATCTCCTTGTCTCAGACAGAGCAAGGGAAATTGCACAGCATAGAAGCTTTTAACATGTGGTTGCATTGCTGCTCATATGAGGTATTTGTGCATTCTGGCTGCAACTGAGAAAAAATTCTGATTAAGCCTATCTCCATCTTCCACCCTCTTACCTCGTCCCTGAAGCCCCATCCACACTCCTTCCTCTTCTTTGGCGGTGCTTAGTCCTTACTCATGCACTGAATGGTGCTTATGTAATCACGTGTGTGCCTTCAGTGTAGTAGTACTCTTCCCAGGTGTGGGTCCTTGGCAGCCTGGGCTCACAGAAATTGTGTTATAAGACATTGGCCATCATTCATCCTGGAAAAAGAGTACCATTTAGTAGATTTACTTAGCAAAGCTTAATTTTTCTCTATGTAGCATTTTTGTGCAACTGTTAATGCTTCCTACATAAATGAGCTTTGGTAGTCCTCCTCAACAATTGGTGGCCCTCTACTACAGTCTTAAAATGCATCATTTAGCAATGTTGGGTTTCTTGCTAGACAATGGGGTCATAATTATAGCAGTGCTTTCTTCACATTAGTTATTTGTCATCTATAAGTTGTGCTCTGAATATGATGTAATTTCAGTGTCCCTGTAAGCTTTTATATAAAACATAGATTAGATGATATAAACAGGAATCCTGGATATTTTTTTGTATTGCCCAACACTAGACAATCTGCAAATGCTATAGTAACCATACAGCAGTGGTATGGTTAATTTCATGTATGTTTATTAGGTGTGAAGCATTTCTCTGCCTGCTGTTAAGTCACCTTCATAGACCAATGGCTCAGGCTGTTTTTCTTTTTAACCAGCAGCTCTTACAGGGAGGTCATATTTTTGCTAAATGATCATTATAACCTTAATTAGATATTTAACTATTTAAACACCAAGTAAATATCAAACAAAAGATAATGGTCCCCTGAATGTAACTTTTCTTTATCTAGGAATATAATTGTTGTACATGCACAGAAACGACAGACTCGGACAGGGGAAGGTGCATGGGGAAGCAACAGTATGGCAATGACTGTCAGTCAGCTACTTTTCTTGAAGTACAACTCTGGAAATTGAATGATCTTACCCTTGCAGTGGGACTACCCTTGCACTGCAAGTGTTAAGTGCTCGTTTTGTCTAGGGGGCTCAAAAAAATATATACTCATCTGATCCTCTGTCCCACGGTAGTCGGCGCTCACTTCTCTTCCTCTCCGCTCTGGCTATGGAAGTCCCTTGTTGTCCTCATGTCTAATGCAAGTCAATGGGCCTGCATTAGACGTGATGAGTATATCTGTTTTATTTGAGCCCCCTAGACAAAACATATACTTAATCCTTACAGTGCAGGGGCACCCTGCAAGGGTCAGTTTTTTTGTTTTTTTTTTACATTTCTGGAGTTCTTCTTTAAACTTTCCCTCTTGATTTCCCTATCAGCAGAGATCTTGTGACCAACATTCCACTCATTTGGCCACTTGACCCTGACCAGTGGGAAAGGGAAATTCAGGAGTTTGGTGAAAGCATATATCTTTCCAGCCTGTGTAGTTTTTTGTCCAAAGTTTAATTCAATGAAAGGAAAATATATAGGAAATAAATGACTTTGGAATGCTCCTTGTAAACAGATATAAGGGGTTAATCCTGGATTGCCTTCTAGTGCAGCAAATAATTCGTCACGTACAGTGTACGTGACGAGTCATTTGGTCCCTTTGTGGCTGGACGTACAGTGTACGTCTCCCGTCACGTAGGGGTTAAACTTGTTAGCCAATTATCTAATAGATGTTTTTGTTTATGTATTTTTTTGTGAGAGACGTTCTTTATTGAGAAGTTACTAACCTTTAAACAACGAAACAGGTAAGAAAAATAACAAGATTGAATTACAAACTCTGAGCATACTCTTTCTCTTCTTATTGGCTTAGAACACCTGGGCTTGTGAAGAGAGAATAGTTGTTTTAATACTTAGTAGCCAGTCAGTTTATTGAAAGGCCAAGCCACAAGGATTGGCAGACATGTAGGCAGCCTTACTTCAAGGGTATGGGTTTGTTTTTGTATGCTGTGTATGGTGAACCATACAGGCTTCAGTTAATTTAGATCCCAGTATACATGAAACCCGTGACACTGTCTAGTATGTCATCTTTGTGCCAGTCTGTTCAAAATGCAATAAGGAATCCAACAGACATGTTTCAGCTTTGTTGTATACATTCTGGCACCCTTTGGTCATCTTTTTTTTTCTGTCTAAAAAAAAAAGATTGTGCTTTGTCCACATCTGCAATATCTCTTTAAAGAAGAAACAAATCCTACATTCAATACAATCCAATTTTACTGAAGCAAAAGGGGCTTGTTTGAAGAAACGGACTGTTACTTGCCGAATGGAAACGCCTATTTATGCTTGTTTTTCCTGACAGAGAAGTCTGGTCTCATGTGTAGCGGCTTCCCCAGCCAGTAATGTGATAAGCCAAGCATTTTTATTGCATGTGCATGCTGACTGGTGTTTGTTATATGATTTTCTTTTTACCTGGGGAAAACCTTTTATTTTGCAGATTCTCTGGAGCCAGAGGGATCCATTACTGTCTCAATGGGTATTGACTTTTGTGATTCCACTCAGACTGCCAGCTTCCAGTTGTGGTACGTTACTGTATATAGACGTGTTGTATGTCCAGTTCTGCTCCGTATGCTAATGAAGTAAAAGAACAGTAAATGGTTTTTCAGTTTTAGGAATTCTTTTATTACATTCATCTTTAGCCCATTCTTGCTTGCATTGTTAAGAAATCGTGTTGCTTTACTGCCACAAATTTGTGTTGCATGTCGATCCAATTTTAATGTGATGAGAGTTTTCTCTGATCGAATGTCTAGATCAATAAAACAGGTTATGAGCTACCAGTAACCCACCCCTTTAGTCGAGTTTAACTACATTAATATATTTTTAACTAGAAAAGGACTGGTGATAGTGCTGCAAAGCTGAGGTTTCTAGATAATAGATAGTTTCTGCATGCTGTGACTTGATCCTGAGGTTTATTTTAGTACTGTACAACTAGTTCAAGCAAAACACCTGAGCAATGTTACATTGTAAGTAGGTGGCGGCTTCTATTGAATATGTATAAACTGAAGTGCATGTGCATAAAACATTGACATTTATTAGTGATCCCAAAATGTATTGTAATAGCAGCACAGCACACACAAGCAGTCACACTTTAACAATACTTGGGTTTAGATGTGCAGTCTCTATTCACAAGGTCTAGTCCAGAAGGTCCCATCACCATCTACACAAATACTGATGAGAAAAGGTAGGAAAACCAAAAGAAAGCCGTCCTTATAAATGTTGGAACAAGCTTTCCTCGATTTGTGTGGAAGCTCAGGATAGAATGTTTACTATGTTTAAACTTAACTCCCAGCCCTTCGCTGTGCACCCCTCCTTTCTCTCTATACTTCCTTCCACTGTGAGACCTCTTTTTTTCCTAAGGTGGACTCTGCCTTCAACCTTAACCAGGACAGTGTTTTGTCATCTTTGTGTCCTGCAGTTAAACACCCTAAAGAAGTTTCTCTCCACTGTTTAAACATTGTTTGGGCAGATGAGCTTACCCTCCTCTACTGCTTCCTTCCACAAGGAAGTCTGACTCCCTCTTTGTCACTCCTGAAGGTCCCCACTTGTTGCAGCCGGCTTCCCGTACCACTGTTGCCAGGTAGATTAATTGAACGATCATTCTATGAAGCGAAAGGAAAAGTCCCTTCCTTTCCAATCATTGTTCACTCCACTAGAAGCATTTATATTTCTTGGGTTTCAGAAACAGGCTTTGGCCACTGAAATCTGTAGGGCTGCCACCTGGTCCTCAATTCACACTTTTGCCCCCTCCCCCCCCCCCCCCCCCCCCTATCTTTTTTTTTTTTTTTTTTTTGTGACTTAC